TGAGATAATGTATGCAAAGCGCAGTGCCCGGAACATGGGAAGTGCTCCAGAAGTTTTGTTATTATTAACATTATTGTTATTGTCGCCGTCATCCTTATACTTGGTTATTTTTAGTCTCCCCAATCCTTTAGTTACTTTTTCAAACTTCTGCTAAATTTTTGCTTGGGCTCCATCTACTTTGCTGTGAGTCAAAAGAGAATTCACCACATCCAATTGTTTTCTAAAGAATGTCTTCGGAAAATTCACAACTGATCATTCTGATACCAGCATCTAAGGTTAGGGCTACCTTATCCTTCATCACCTTCTTGTTTTATTCATAAGACCACGATGTGGACTGTTGATAAAATTATGTTTCAAAAATAAGTAGCTTATTCGAAGGCACCTACAGTTTCAGCCCAAGCTGACAAATTAGGCTAACTTTCAGAAAGTTAAGTACGTAGTCTAATTCTCAGCTAACTTACTCCCTACCAAGTAAAAATGTACTGCCTTTTAAAATCTAGAACTCACCTCTCTCAAGGCAAACCTTCTAGTTCTAATATTCGAAGTATTTAACGAACAAGACTTTTAGGGGGTCCTCTTGTGGTTAATACATTTGTTGTTGTTGTTGTTTTCTACCCTGTTTGGGTTTTTGTTTTTGTTTTTGTTTTTCGAGACAGAGTCTTGCTCTGTTGCTTACATTGGAGTGCAGTGACATGATCATATTCACTGTAACCTCGAATTCCTGGGCTCAAGCGATCCTCCCACCTGTGCCTCCCAAAGTGTTGGAATTACAGGCATGAGCTACTGTGCTCAGCCTTTACTCTGTTTTCTACTTTTTATTTGTTGCAAACCGAATATGTTTATTTTAACAGATACTAGTCTTCCCCATCTTACTCCCCTGAGATTTCAGTGTTAAAAGTTGGTTTGAGTGTTTCCACGTATGTCTTTATAACAAGCTTCTGCTGACACGCCTTGGCCCAGCTTTCCATAAACACATCCAGCCCGACCTATTAGGTTGAATTGTACAAAATTGCCATTTTTGTAGGTCCCTACTATTCTTTAATACCAAGCCTCAAATTGAGCCAGACCCTACATGTCCTGTTTTATACACATGCCTTACTCATTTCTGCCTGGGTTTGCTTTTGTGGGTTCACTTTTGCTGGATGGCCTCCACACCCAACCCCAGCTCTACTCTGCCTGGACATCTTTTAACTCTCCTTTAAAGAGGAACAGCCTTCAACTTCTTGAATTCCCTTCACACTCATTGTCTACATCACATACTCTGCTTGCCTTTGTAATACAACTTCGTGTTTTAGTGTTTATATACTATTTAATACAGATGTCACCTGTTTTGTTGCTTTTATTTGCTCTGGTTGCTTGATGTTCTATTGACATAACTAGACTTTAGTGCTTTCTAGAAAAGGACTATGTTTAGTATATTTGTACTTATTCACGTGCTGATCCAAGGACATGGGACAAAATGTTAAAGTTAATTCAATGAATATTTTCATAATACAAAAATCATGTTTTTCTGTAAGGGCATTCACTAATACTGACATTTGCTAATACTTCAGACTAGAAAAGCTCAGTAATATTACTTTTTCTTGATAATTAATTTTGATTGTAAGAGCATTAAATATAATGGAAATCAATGATGCAAATGACCTCAGACCCTAGGTTCACTTCCCAAAACAAACTGTATTCTGAGAAAACTTGTGGTACCAAAATTTAGAGTGAAACCCCAGACTATTAATGATGCTCATGTTACTTTACTCCAACATAGTAAGTACTCAGTGATTTCTCATGGAAATTTTAGTCTTTTCAAGTTTCATTTTTTTAATACAAAAGTCCAATAAAATATCAGCCACTATTTTTAGATCTTCATTCTCAATGTCTGTAAAGCTAATACTGATATTAAATTAATGTTATCAAAATTGATAATTACTATACATTGTGAATCTTGTTTTTTGGATGTCATTTAAAGGGTTGTCTTCCTGTGTTAAGAAATGGGTAATTTAGGACTTTAAGGTTATTTAACCGTTTAGTGGAAAATCGTTTCCTTGTTTAAGAAAATGATCTCCATCTAGTGGACAAATTTTTATATGACAACATACAAAGAAAAGTATCAAAGCTCCTAGAATATCTTACATCAAGCACTTTCTGACCTACTAATAAATGTTTTGGTTTTAGTGGCAATATTATGGCTTAAAAGTTTTAAGATTTTAAAATATCTTAAATATCTAAGTGACTTAAGATATTTAGCAATATTTGTTTCAAGACTTATAGTGGAGTGTCTCTGTAAGTTAAGACTTGCTTAATTTAATTGGAAAAATATAATTAAAGAAAAAATTAATGATTTTTACAAATTTGGCATTTACCCAATTCAAATGGAAAAAACTAAACCAAAACCCACACTTCTGTATCTCTTACATTTCTGTTAGTGGACAGGAAGGAGAGGGTATTTTCTGTTTTTAATTTAGCAATAAGAATATCTTTATATTAATGGGAAATAGACAGAAACATTTTTATAGGTATTCACATTCCTAGGTCCTCCTCATGCTGATAAGCTGCCATGGCTATTTTCTTAGAAGAGAAATCTACTTTGCCAAACTCCCGTTAATCAGAAGTTTTTAACGTCTACCAGTTGTATACTAAACACCTTCAAAAACCTTCTTAAGTACTACTCTCCATGAAAACTTCTCAGATATCCCAACCTGACTTAATCATTCGTCCTTTATTTTTGTATCTTAATGCACTCATAGTAGGTGCATAATAAATGCCTTTTTAAGCATTTCCAAGGAGAGTTTGCTGAAGGTTCCTAATGTATGCCTGTTGAATCATTAGAGACCATCCTCCCTTTCCAGCCTTCCTGGGAATGGCCAAGGTCCCATGTACATACGTGCCTATCCTTTTCTGGTGAAACAGATGTCTCTTGTTTGGATGACACATATATTTGTGGTGTGTATAATTATGCAGTAGAGCTAGAAGGACTTTAGGAACAATTGATGATTCAATACAGTTAGCTCAGTGACTGGTCAGTTAACTTTTCTAGGACCTGGTATCCTTGTCTGTAATGTGAGTCTGTTCAACTGGATAATCTCTCATTGTCCTTCCTGAACCAAATAAATACGTCTACAAAGTGACACAATTCTAAGAAAATTTTAAGTGGGAAAAATATACTTATAACTAGTCAAGCTTGATGGTGAGTTTTTCCGCTTCTGTTTACTTGATGGATTGTTTCGGAGCCACTGTTACTTGATCGTAGATTCAAAAGTGACCTACGAAACATCTTCCGATCTTAGGGTCATAACTCTATTTATTAATAACTGCAATAAAGAAAATAAATGAATGTTTTAAAATTAGCTAGTTAATAGTTTGGATACAGATTCTAATGGGGAAAATGTTAATGGCAGCAACACTTGAATTCATATGTTTATTAATTCAACAATTTTTTCTTTAAAACTGCACACCAGGCCTGGTGCAATGGCTCACGCCTATAATCCCAGCACTTTGGGAGACCGAGGCAGGTGGATCACGAGGTCAATAGATCGAGACCATCCTGGTCAACGTGGTGAAACCCCTCTCTACTAAAAATACAAAAATTAACTGGGCACGGTGGCGAGAGCCTGTAGTCCCAGCTACTCGGGAGGCTGAGGCAGGAGAATTGCTTGAACCCAGGAGGCGGAGGTTGCAGTGAGCCGAGATTGCGCCACTGCACTCCAGCCTGGGTAACAAGAGTGAAACTCAATCTCAAAAAAAAAAAAAACACGCACCTGTTGGGCTGTCCTAAGCTATCACCCTCCTCACCTAAGAACACATGAAAGGTGACTATTTTGATACTGGTTGATGTTTCACTAGAAACGTTCTTTGTGGAAAGTTTATCTAGATTATAAGGACTATGACGTTAAGAACTGTGTGTGTAGTTATTTTTTTCCCAGCTCTGAAATATGTATTGCTGAGCACAGTGTCTTTTATTAATTTAATCATTTACTCAAGCTACTTGTGCACGGTTTTCAAAGTGCCAAGAATACTGAGACTCCATTCGTAGAGAGCTCACAGTCTAGGAATGGAGACTGGGTGCAAAACGTTTTCAATTCATTCTAAATTCTGTCATTAGGGAGTGGGAAAGTGTCTTGGGAGCATAGAGAAGAGGGCCTTTCATAAAGCTCTGATGTACCAGGGGAGCCTTTCAGGTGCAGGCTAAGTCTCAAGGATAAGTGACAATTAGGCAGGGAAAAGGAGGGTTGAGTAATTAGGAGAGCAGGGGGTTCGATGGTGATAGCCTGTGACAAGGAGATTGTGCTTCAATATGAGTTGAGTTTGAAGTACCCGGTAGATGAGGGCTGCAAATTGAGGCTGGAAAGGCAACTAATTGTAATTGAGAGCAGATGGTTGGACTTCAACCTGAGGGCAAGAGTGAGTTACTAAAAAGCTTTAAACTGAAGAATGACAGTAGAAAATGGATTCAAGACACTAATATAAAGGTTGTTATAATAACATAGGTGAACTGTGATGAAGACCTGAATTTAAAATATTGGTAGTAGGGATGGAAGGAAGTGGGTACAACAGAAATTAATGCTCAGATAAATGTAGTAGGGTAGGAGTGTGGAGAGAGAAGCCCAGGCTTGGGAGAACAGCATTAGGCACAACATGGGCATTTGTTGAATCGAATTCAAATATTTAATGAATTGCTGTGTATTTGTTATTTTCCAAAAGGAATTTTATACTTAGAAGATTATTTTTTGCAGAATGTTTCCCTTTTAACTGAAGTTGAGTTTGGAAAAACCTATATCTTGTATCTGGTCAATTAGCAAGAGTATCCAGGAAAATAAGAATGTGAAGTCAATGTGTTTTTCTTTTATGTATTTCATATAATCATATCTTAATGGTAGGAATTAGGTATAAATTTGATTCCTCCTAATTCCACAGTCAGTTCCTCAGCTGAAGCTAAATGCTTTGTGAAAATATCAACATGCATTTGAATGTTCACAGCAACATAATTCCTTCTCTTTCCTTTACAGTTTTGATGTGGACAATGGCACATCTGCGGGACGGAGTCCCTTGGATCCCATGACCAGCCCTGGATCTGGGCTAATTCTCCAAGCAAATTTTGTCCACAGTCAACGCCGGGAGTCCTTCCTGTATCGATCAGACAGCGATTATGACCTCTCTCCAAAGTCTATGTCCCGAAACTCCTCCATTGCTAGTGATATGTAAGTAAAAGGGTTGGCAAAGAGAAGAGGGAGCTCCTACAGAAAACCAAGTAAATTTATATCTAGAGTTGATGATTTAATAAACCCAATGACTTTTGTTCAACTGAATCACTCTTTTCCAATATAGAAAGAATATGAATAAAATTATGCAAGCTAGAAATGAATGGTAGATTTAACTTGAGTGCACTGTCACTCTTGATTCACACACACACACACACACACACACGTACACACACATACACATGCATTTATTTTCCCAGAAAATACCCTTTCTGGGAAAACTGAGAATTTTTAATGAAAACTAACACTTAATCATTAGCTCATCTTTATGTAGAAACTGAGTTTTAGCTACCAACTACATGGATATTTTCTAATATTTTGAAAAGCTTTCAACTCAGTTTGAAAATTCCTGTGATAACACACTATATAGCATTTTGAATATATTTCAATTGATGTATGTACAGATGTTAGCACTGGTTTGCCAGCTTGTTTAAGAAATCTTTGTGGGGTTTTGCCAAAATTAAACCAATTATTATGTAAGGATCATTAGAGGCAAGCACAGAAAACATTAGACAGACTTGAATATCATTTAAGACATAGTACAGCTTGGAAAATAATGAAAACTGACAAGCAGGTTTGCAGATCATATACCATCACTTGCTCATTTTCTCAATGCATTTCCTTCTCGTTGTATCTTCATGTTTTTCTACATAGGTCTTTACTCTCACTCAGTACTCGCACTATCATTTGTGGCACCTCTGCCTCTGCGTAGAATTGATCTTCATTTTTCCCTCTTGGTTTATACATTTGCCCAATAACATGCACCATGTTTTTATGACACCCATCTCAAAAACTCATAACAGGCTGCAATTTATCTTATAAGAATTAGACTGTATGGGACCCCTGTCTGTCTAGGATTATTCTTGCTCTTCTAACAGAGCATCAGGGTATTGCAATAGGTCTACATGGGGTTCTAGAAATGAAATCATATTTTGCTCATTTTTACAAACTATAGTTGCTGTTTGATTAGCAGTTGTATTATTGATGTCTATCCTTCTTCATCCCTAAACAACTTTCTATTCCTAGTGGCCCTATTTCTACATTATTTTTATCTCACTTTCTTATATTTGAAATTCAAGACATTTATTCATTCACACATAATGAGAATGCTTCTTGAGCAAATACTATGTATTTAAAGCTCTCGATCTGTGGAGTTGTGAGGTCTGGCATGTGTTAGACCATTGCAATACAATTCCAGGGGCCATCCTTGAGGCACTGCAGGAACTTAGAGAGGAGATGGAGAGTTTTCCACCCAAGGGAAAGGTACTGGAAACACTGGGCTAAGGAAACAATACTTGCTAAGTGTGAGGCATGGAAAATTACAGCTGAACTAAGGAATGACAATCTGTTTGATGTGAATAGTGAAACCTGGCAAGAGAGAAGAAAGATTCAAATACAGCCTATGGGACTGGAGAGCCACAGAGGTTTTTAGCTGGGTTTGGCATGATGATATTCTGACTCTGTTGTTGAATGATTGTGTAGCGAACTGACTACAGGGAAGTATTTCATGTCAAAATTCACAGAAGTAAGGCAGGCTAAATATGATGAAGAGCTAGGTCAAGGGAGTGATGGCAGTGGAGCAAAGAGTTGGTTCAGATGCAAGAGGCTGAGAGAGAGAGAGAGAGAGAGAGAGAGAGTGTGTGTGAGAGAGAGAGAGAGAGAGAGATGTATGTATGTATGTTGGGAGACAACGAGTGGAGAAGGAGAATCAAAGAGAATGCTGATGTTTTGGCCATGAAAGACTATTAAATGGTGATGTGGACATGAGAAACAAGGAGCAGAAAACGTGGCAGATAACAGGTGATGAATTTGACTTGTACATGATGAGGCTACGGGAAACAAGACAGCAGTTAAAGTACCAGGACAGCAAACAGAAATAACAGTCCAGAAGACCAGGAAAAATGAGAACAGTGACCTTCCATATTTACTAGGTTTTTGAATGACAGTTGAGTGGAGCGTCATATTCAGGGAAGAGCATCAGGAGCCCCTGGGTTAAGGAATGAATTGAAAGTAGAAATGTGAGCAAGCCCAGGCATCTCTTCGAAAGGCTGATGAGTGAAGCAGGAAGAGAGAACTAAGGCTGCCTGACAGAGACTTTTTTTTGAATTCAGGATATTTGAGCTGAGGGAAGGGTCTAGGAGATAGAAAGAGACTAAAATTCAAGAGGAAAAAAGGGTTAAAGATGGAGCTGTAGTTGCTGACAAAGATGAGATCATGAGCTGAAGTAAGGAGACTATCCTTGGAAAAGTAGTAGATACCAGAACTATTTGCTTTTGGAAGGACAAAGAAGACCTATCTGACCAACATAGTAAGACCGTATCTCTACTAAAAATAAAATAAAATAAAAAAATTAGCTGTGCATGGGTATGGCATGTCTCTACTAAAAATAAAATAAAAATTATCATGCACCTTTAGTCCCAGCTACTCTGGAGACTGAGATAGGAGGATTGCTTGAGCCCGGCAGTGAGCTATGATCATGCCACTGCACTCCAGCCTGGGTGACAGAGCAAGACAAGACTGTGTCTGAAGGAAAAGAACAGAAAGGAAAAAAGAAAAGAAAGAAGAAGCAAGAAAAAAAGAAGATGATGAAAAGAAATGTTTAGCGATATTAGCCATGAGTTCTCTAAACATTCTACTCTTCCATCTCCAAATGAATGAATGTAAAAGTAGAAGGTACAGCCGTCAACAGCCAGAGGAGAGAGGGATGGGGCAGCTTGAGAAGAAAGGGAAAGGCTTTAAAAAGCCACTATGCAGATCAAAAAAGGGGACAGGGTAGAATACTGACCAGCCCCATAGATAATAATAAACAATATTAAATAGGCAAATGACTGAATTGAAAGTCATCTAATCCAACTTCATCAAAGGCGACTCAGCCTTGGAATTGATAAAGGAAAGGGGAAAACTTACAGTGAGTCAGTGGAGACCATTTATATAGTTATGTGTTCTACCTTTATAAATTGTAGTAAGCTCAGTTTTGGATAGATTATTTCTTTCATACACTCTATTTAGTAAATATTAAACATATGTAGGTATTTATGAAAATCTTACAGCATTTTATATTTAAATATGAAATGCTTTTATTTCAAAATCAAACTTGCAAGGATGACCTCATTTTGCTGTGTGCCTCAAGAGTTTCTTTATCTGATCAGACCCAGGTAGGAATGACGAGTTTCATCAGACCAAAAGTCAACTCTATATGCTGCTGAAAAATGATGTGTTGACATGTTTAGCTTTGCCATTCTCCCTGGATATTTACATTGGAGTAGAAAGATGTTCCTTTGACACTGACTCCTAGAAAGCATTCTTTCTGCCAGAGATTAATTTTATGTGGAAAGAAAAGTAAATATAATAAATAATTACTATTGTAACATTTAATCTGACACTATACATATCTTCCACCACAAAGGACTATGCCTTCTCTTAATTCGAATCCTCATATGCCATGGGTAAACTTTAATTTTCTTGCCTTACCTAGTTCACAAGAATGCTATAAAGACTGTCTGATGTCTATAATTCAACTACGCTTTATAGAGAATGATGTTATAATATATTTAATTACTTGATGATTTTATGTTAATTTTTCTAGTTAAGCTTTCCTATTGAGAAAATTTCTTAGAAATTTCAAACACAAACAGTACGTACCTAATGAAGGGTATTTAAAATGAAGGTTTGTGGTTATCTATTTCATTGAACTGTTTTAGAAAACCTGTAAATACTCTTTAATTTTAAATATAACTATTTACTATACTGGAAAAGTGAAAAAAAGGAAAAGAATTCCTTCCTAGTAGATAGGATATCATCTTATCCTCTATAAATAGAAACCAGTGAAACAGCTGAAGAACAAATCAGTTAAAGATGGTAGTAATAAGAATCATAACATACATGGTGTGTGTATATTTATTTGTCATCAACTTTCCCAAGTATTTTCACACCAGTTATCTCATTTGATATACTCACAGTCCTTTTGATAGGGACATAATTATGCCGTTTTACAGATTAGAGAGTCAAAGTCCAGTGAGCTTAATCTTTTGTTAAAAAAATAAATAAATAAAATAAACAAGCATTTTGATCATTTCTAGGAGCACATAATTTTGATAATGCCATTGTAAATAAAATACTGTATATTACTACAGCAAAAACTACTCAAAAAATGCTGAGAAACAGAAGTACCTGTTGATCAAATGTATTAAACCAATGAATTATATAGTACTATGAAGATTTGATTAAGAATAAAATAACAGCTCAAAGAGGTAACAAAGTAAATATTCAACCAACTCTCAGAAAATGTATACAAGTATGTAGTACTAGGCTAACCTCAGAATCTAAAAAATTAGCTTATATAAGGCAGAGGAGAAGTTCCTGGCCACTTCTGCTCAAAGACCATCACACAGTTTGTTAAATATAGGTGATGCAGTAGCAACTTAATGCTTAAGAAATATAAGAAAAAGAAAAATGTAGTGTTAGCATGAGTCTAATAAATAAACACATGAAAATAAATTTGAATTACCACTAACAGTAAAAAGGGTTTTTTATAATGGTAAAAACAACTAGAAAACAAAAGGTGCCCAAGTGATGTCATGAAGAAAATTGCAGTGTAAATAGACAATATTTTTGTCTTCTTAATATTTCAGCATCTAAATAACAGTCATTTCTGTTGTTTCCCATCATCCAGTAATATAATGTCTGTATTTGGAAACACACAAAGATATGATACATTGCAAAGATTAAGAGAATTAGCAGAGACAAGATAAATAGAATTGTCACAAAACTATGAATTTATTGAATATAAGTTAGTTATCAAACTACTTAAGTTTTAAGAAATATTCAATTCACCAGGATGACAGACCCTCTATTCCCCATCCTCTGTTGAATTAACACCAACATAGAATGCAAAGATGATCCAATCGGCTCTTCACTCACATTCATAGACATTGCTTCTG